AAATTTGGATAAAAGGTTAGACATGAATGATGAAATTACTATGTTCATTAAACTCGGGATAGAAACGCTAGTCATTAGGATAATTGGGAAGCTTGAAAGAGAATTATTAGGTACGATAGGCAGTCTTTGTGATGAATTTACATCAAGAAATCCTAATTACCAACGTGTTGATCTATGTGGACAAAAAATATTAAAAGTTGGTAGTTTTTATGAAGATACAAAAATCATATTTCCAGATGAATTTGACTTTATATATGTTTTATCTGCATTCAAAGTAAATGGATCTATGGAAGACTCTGGATGGAAGAAACATTATTTTACTCTTAATAAGTTTCACGATGTTATGAAAAGATTTATTTCTGAACAGCTAAGAGACGAACAGTTAGTGTATGAATTCAAAATGCATTGTATAAAATTCAAATATTATGACAAAACTCAAGGGCCTGCTTCTAAGCTCCTTTTTACATATGAAAGAAATGACTCTAAAACATACAGCAGATCGATAACAGTAGACATCGTTCCCGCCTTTAAAATATCTGACAACCATCTAGAAGCAAAGATTAAAGATGTTTGCAGTATACATTCTTTTGCAGATGAAATTATAAAGACCAAAACTTATTTAATTACGAATGAGATCTCTTTCACTGAGACCGAGTTACATTGCATGAAATACACTGTGTCAAACGAGCACCGAAGTGTATATAGAGCACTTAAATATCTTATTAATGGTGATGGTGATGGCGAGGAACTTCAGAAAAACGTTCCATCAGCAGGAATTTCAACGTATATGGTTAAAGTTGCTACAATAAAACACCATTTTGCATGTTCATCATACCAGAAAGAATCTCAATGTTTATTAGACATTCTAGGTTATCTTTTGGTTTATTTCACAGATCAATCTGATAATAATAATATATTATGCAAATTTAACGGATCGCCATTCAATATTATTCTAGATGATCGTTTTGCAATTCTCAGGTGGCTAAGACTTAAAATCCAAAAGTATGAAAGAAAATTCTTAGTTAATAAAGAAACAGATTCATACTCTCTGTCTAGGCGTAGATCCAGATATAGTTCGTCTAGGAAAAATGGATCCAACAATAGTATATTCAGTTTATCAAGCTCCATAAATAAAATGCGTTTTTGTACAAACAGCTCAAGTACGGTCTCGACTACACTTGCAAGAAATATCCAATATGATAGAGAAAGTCTTGCATCGGGAAACAGTTCTTGTTCAGGAGGAACACCTTTAAAAATTTCTGTGCAATCACGACAACAACAACAAAAGGAAGAAGAACGAAAAAGGCAACGACGCCAAGAAAGAAAACTACGAAAAGAGCGCAGAAGGCAAATGGAACTTGAACAACAAGAACAAGAACGACAAAGAAAACTCAATCGTGAAAGAGAACAAAAAGAGCGATTAGAAAGAATGGAATATCGTCGACAACATCCTGAATTGTTTCGACGAAACAACATGTTACAGATACGACGTAGAAGAGGAATGATCAAACAACGGCAGCAGAGTAGGCAGCAGGGGGGGAGTAAACAGAAAAAACAGCACGAGACAATTACGACAACAACAACAACAACAACAACAACAACAGCAGCAGTATCAACAACAACAAACCAAGAAGAACGGATAATGTCAGCATCTCAGAATTAACGATACAAACGACTTAAATATATTTGTTTGCAGGAAATGTATCATGCTATGTTAGGCCCATCCATGATAATTGTTGTTATAATGATGAGTAGATGGTATTTGCATGTTGGAGGTTAAAATGTTAGGCTTAAAAATGTCAAAAAATATTGTTGTCTTTGTAGCCACTCAGAATGTTTTATCAATATATACTGCTTGTAGATTGTTATAACAATAATACTATATCAGACATTCAAACAATAATATACACTTTTGTTGATTTCGTTTATGCAGAATACATTTCATAAAGAACGAAAGACGGCCATATGTCTGAATGACAAGCTTTTACATTTATTTATCAACCGATATGTACAATTTATATATCCAATAAAATTGGACAAAGTGCTTCTAAAATGACAACTTAGTCTGTCCACAGATATAAAGGATAAGTTTGTATAAAGGTTATAAAATTGGTCCGTAACTTTTGGACTGCTATAAATGTAAGAAAATATTTTGGCATATAATTTTTATGAGAATGTTTTGACAAGATTTACAGCACTAAATGACCAGGGTTATCTCACAAAGGCTGGTAACCGTTGGTAAGTCCATATTTAGTGTCAGCCCCTTAGCTTAAAGACTTTGTGAAATGTTTGAAATTACATGGCACAAATGATCACCATTATGACAATGTGAAGAGCGCACATTCAGGTTGCTAAGTCTTAAGGGAAAATATCGCACGATAATGTTATAGTCGGTAGTAAACCTGTCCCAAATCAAAATCAAGCAGGATTTATCAATAAGCATTACCATTGAGACAGGAAATTAAAAAGAATCACCAATAGTCATATGCACTGACCAGTCATAACAAAGTTAAAAAAGGACTATAATACTTAGCAATACTAAACGCCACAATTGTCTTGTTTTTGTCACAAAAAGGCTTTAATGTTTTTATTATCTTGACAGTTATCTAATTTTATCCATTAAATGTTAATTTATCAGTTTTTGAATTTGCCAAAAAGCATAATAACAAATAGTCTAAGCAAGCTATATATTACAAATGTGAATAAAACAAGAAGTTTGATTTGTTCGTTTCTGTGTACGACAATTTTGAGAACAGGAGTTTCACGTTTGCTCCTTTTACTATACGTAGTAATATCTTAGTCACAGTTTTCCGATTGATGCTAAATATATTTTAGTACACAGTCAAGGGCCTTTAATATTTAAGTTACACTTACCCATTCAGAAAGTCAGTTTTCTTAGAGAGATTATATCAACAGTAAGGCAAATCAATCAGCTTTTAAAATGTCTCAATTGATATATAAACTATAAAATAACTGACATTACTGGATTTTCTCAATTTCCTTTATTGCCTTCCAGTTTCTATAATCATCAGGGCAAATAGACATGAACACATAGTTACAAAGTCATTTGACGTTATTTGTGCACACACACACACACACACGCACGCACGCACGCACGCACGCACGCACGCACGCGCACGCACGCCCACACACACACGCACCAACGCACGCACACACACACGCACACACGCACGCACGCACGCACACACACACACACATAATTGCTTTTTTGAAACACGTTTTGATTTTTAGTCCAACTGTATATGTCACTTTTTACTCCAAGTGCGTCATTCCGTGTCGCTGTACACTCATGCTGTTGATGTTATTGTTGTGTCATGATCCCATTGTTACACGATCACACTATGAAAATTATGATAGCCCTGTCAAAGGATCACACTTTTATGTGATCGCATTGTTACATGATAACACTGTTTTATGATCACTTTCTTACATGGTCACTTTGCAATAAACCAAACTGTTCTCGCCTCTAAGAACGAGTTGAAGTATCGTTTATAATGTTGAAGAGTAATGTTCGATTAGTATTACTGATGTAACACTGTTTTATGATCACTTTCTTACATGGTCACTTTGCAATAAACCAAACTGTTCTCGCCTCTAAGAACGAGTTGAAGTATCGTTTATAATGTTGAAGAGTAATGTTCGATTAGTATTACTGATGTAACACTGTTTTATGATCACTTTCTTACATGGTCACTTTGCAATAAACCAAACTGTTCTCGCCTCTAAGAACGAGTTGAAGTATCGTTTATAATGTTGAAGAGTAATGTTCGATTAGTATTACTGATGTAACACTGTTTTATGATCACTTTCTTACATGGTCACTTTGCAATAAACCAAACTGTTCTCGCCTCTAAGAACGAGTTGAAGTATCGTTTATAATGTTGAAGAGTAATGTTCGATTAGTATTACTTATCATTCATGTCCATGCGTGTTTCAAGAATTGATACTATCTATCTCATGATTGGTTACTGTTTCCCGGACATTAATATATCGACCAAGCTTAATTGAATAAATTCGGTATTTCATCACAATTTCTGACTGATTCTGATCATATTAAGATGCAATTTAGTTAATTAATTACATTATCAAATCTCTTTAAAATCATAAAGGCAAACACTTTAAATGAAGTATTGTAATGTGTAACATTAAACATAATATTGCATACAGATGGTATTTTATTGACAATATCTGCCGTTATGTTTCCGGTATAATCATTACAATTCAGTAAATGGTATTTTACAGAGTTGTTAGTTTTATATTGCAGTTTCTTTAAAAATAAATATTATTATTTTCCAATGATTAATAGGATAAATGATTATAATGCATGGCCAAGGTAGCTGAGGAAAATTGTACCATGTATCAGCATGTTTATTATATACTTATAAATGAAATATTGAGAAATATTGATGAAATAAAATGCGTATTTTCATTTTCCGTATTTTCACTGTAAAAATTTATTTTTCACTGCAATGAAACATATTTTCCGTATTTTCACTGGTGTCTTGCCGGACTACTTTCTTTTAAATTCTGCCAGTACACAAAATTTAAGAGAAAGTCTTTCAAATTTTATCGCAAAAAAGAGAAAAATGTATATAATAAACAGAAAATTCAAGTTTTTTCTATAAATACATGATTTATTTTCATCTTGTGGCATGAAAATTACCAAATTTCACTCGTGGCTACCGCCACTCATGAAATATTTATTTTCATACCACTCGATGAAAATAAATCATGTATTTATAGAAAAAGCTTGAATATCCTCTATGTATTCCAAAATTTTCAAATAAACTGGTATTTATCATCATAGAATATATCTCGTGTAAAGCCTGGAAAAGGATTTTGTATATAATTTTCTGATGACTATTTAATTAAATTCGTTTTTAAACTTTTATTTCACACTAATTTCTTAGTGAAAAAATTAACTATTTAGCTGGTTAGTGACTGATGTAGTAAGACTAAGACCAACATGGCGGTCTACATTATTTATTGAACCTCCACACGGCGTATTTGCGTATGTATGGATGTACACGGTAGCCTATATATGTCCCGAAGACTAGTAAAATATTCAGACATTTCGGGAATCATTTTAACAATTGCTAGCCATATCAGTTATATCAGGAGATCGTGTGGGTTTTACCGAACATTGCATAAGTCTGTATTATAATAATGCCTTAAAATAATATAAACAAAGGCCTATTACTCGTATATGCATTTGGATTACAACATGAACTAATAGGAATTAATGTTATTTATTACAACAAAGGTAACAATAGCAAAAGCATACAATGATCTGGCATGCTCACTCTCTTAACGTTATCAAATGAACTGTTTAAAAAATACATAAAGATCCTTGAGATATTGCAATATACATGTCTAAAGTTAGTTTGGATCAATTATTTATTTCTTATTTATGAATTAGTGTTACTAAATATCATAATTACAATGTCAGTCTTCTACAGAACGCTTTATTAGCAGGCCAAACCCTGTGAGTTCAACATTGAATAATTATAAAGCATAACAAGGGTAGCAATACAAATGCACTTGCAAGAACACATAATGTAAAAAAAAAAGTACGGTCATAATTTAACCCTAACCAAAATTTAGAAATACATGTAACAAAATTTGACATGATTAACAGTTTAAAAAAGAAAATGTATAAAACATTTACCAAATTGAAGTCAACGAATGTTGCATATATTATCATAATTTCGGATGTAGACTTCATTATACACTTGAACATACAAAATGTAATTTTTGTTCTGCTACGTTTAATAAAAGTGAGCCATTTCTACATATAAGGATTTAAATATAAAGGAATTACATATTTATTTAAAAGGGCTATACTTATAGAAAAATCACACGAAAAATCGCCAAGTAGCAACAAGGACTCGAACCACGGGTCTCTTGATTCATCATCCAGCTTGTCCAGTATGCTAACACCTACACCGCAGTGATCGCTGCGTTTTCTTCGTGCTAAGTAAGTTATTTTAAACTTTATTTATAGAGGACATACATATAGAGGATCCCATCATATGCTCTCCATACAGCCAACACTAGTATCTTTAAAGTAAATCTCTTGTTAGACAAGTTCTCGGAATTATTCCGGGGGGCGTTGAAGGACATGTCTTGTGGGAAATCATTATAGTTCCCTTTAAAAAAAGAAAACAACACCAGCAGCAAAGAAATCGAGCTATTTGGGAACTGACTCCAGTGGCTACAAAGTTCTCGTCAAGAAAATAAATGAACGTATTCTAAACAGACACAGTAACAATATCATATAATAAATTAAATTATGTGAAGTTTTATTAGCACTGTTGCACAAATCATCGTCATCACAACAATTTTTACGAACACAACCACGTGATGTTTTTAATTGTTTCGTGCAATTTACAAAATCATTTCTTTCTATGCAGTTATGAGAGCATCCCCGAACAGTAGATGTATGTAAGGCAATGAATTCTCCTTCATCATTCTCTTCTTCCATTTCAAAGTATACTTTCTGTAATATTCAACGTAGTGAATCACTATGTCATACAAAAATATACGAAAGACCGATGGGGGCATTTCAACTTCATGAATTCCCGATTTCAGCTTCATGAATTCACGATTTCAATTTCACGAATTCACAAAATGAAGTTGAAATCGTGAATTCGTGAAGTTGAAATCGTGAACTCGTGAAGTTGAAATCGTGAATTCATGAAGTTGAAATCGTGAACTCATGAAGTTGAAATCGTGAATTCATGAAGTTGAAGTCGTGAATTAACGAAGTTGAATTCGTGAAGTTGAAATCGTGAATTCATGAAGTTGAAATCGTGAATTCGAGAAGTTGAAGTCGTGAATTCATGAAGTGGAATCGTGAATTCGTGAATTTCCGTATTTTGAAAACGGGAATTCACGAAGCTTAAATTGTGAATTCATGAAGATGAAATTGTAAATTCATGAAGTTGAAATGGCCCTACAGGTCGTTCGTAAAAGTACACAACAACTAAATGTAAATGTTGTTCAAACATGCCTTGCTCAAAGTTAAGTTTACAAATAAAATCTATATACATATAGATATCTATTTCTTATTAATTTATAAAATGAATAAGCTTATTATAAGCGAAACACAATTAGATTTTTAAAACTGTTTTTATTCTTAGGAAATATAGTACGATTCATTTACACCACAGATACTGTAATACCTATGACACTGTTATACAGCCATGTCAGTCTGATTTAAATCAGCTCCTAATTAAAACTACATGCAAAATATAACATAAGTCGGTATTAACTTCAGTCATATTGACAGCCGTGTTTAAATTAGTAAACATTCACTCTGTCAAAGCGGAATTTTTGACTGGATAATTTTTAGCTTTGAAATCCGCCCTCAAACAGGCTACAATAGGAATGAAGGGTGAGTCCATTATACTTACAAATCAATGAACATCTTACTTGACATGATTGTCCAGCACTACATAATTTTTCGGAAGCTTTGTAATTATCTGCGGGGTCTTTAGAACAGTCGTCTGCCACGCAATGCCAACAGTGCAATTGTTGACCATTCACTAAAGAGAAACATATAAATTGAAATGAAATTTATTTTCTTTTTTCAAATCTAAACTAATTTGCAGATAATGAAGAATTTATTACACGTGATATCTATAATCTATTACAACAAATATATGCTTAACATATAAATACAAACATACAAATAGAATAGATGTATAATTTTAGCAAGCCGCATAATCCAAAACTTTATGACAAAAATATAATTATACAAAAAACGTAATTTGAAAGTGTATAAGTTTAATGATTGTTGTTTCAGCATACACTATTTAGGGCCGAAAGGTTTATTTCATGTTTCATGGTGACATTTTCTTTTTACTGATCTCTAAGCACCGATTTCATACATCTGTTAGAAATTGAAAATTGAAAGGTACTAATTTAATTTAATTATTAAAAATTTAACATTATTACATAAAACAACGTCTAACGTTGAAACTGTTTGGATAACAAATTGCTTGATATGATTTAAGTTAATTATATCTGGCAATAAGCTACGGTTACTTACCTACATAGAATGTACATACATGTACTGCTAACACTATGGTCAGAATGATCTTATTAATCTTGTTACCCGGCATAGTTAATCTAACAAGTCCATCATGTAGTGTTCTTTATATTGAAGACCTGTAATTGATTACTTTCCAATTAATGTTAATTAAAAATGTAAAAACAACCAGTAATACAAGTTGCCGACGGGTTATGTAGTCTGGATATGATAAATATAAGACCCGAGGTGCTAGGTTTATATTTATGTTAGAAAGGCTATATTCCGTTATTACTTGTAAAACGATTTATAATAACGCAAATTGTTAATGAAAAAAAAACAACAACAAAAAACAGCAACTTTATATTGCCACAAACTGTCAAGTTAACGCTGCGCAATAAAAATAAGTATAAAGTTATCATTTTTCAACTATTTGAAGTGATGACATTTGAATCATAACACATGCATTTGACATGTTTGAAGTAATGTGTGGAATTTGTACATTCTTCGGTTCTTCAAGGTACATGCAGGATAGTATACAAAGTGGAATTCGAGAATATTTTTTCATTATTATAAATATTTACATGTATAAAGATAAGAAAATCAAATTGGTTTTCAAGGTTGATTCAGTCATGTACGTTAATATACATACCTGAATCAACATCAAAATCATTTAAGTAAACGGCATATTGAAGTTATACAAACTGTCAATATTGATTTGGCATAAATGTTATGATACGATATATTTCAAATCTGAATACCTACAAGTTTTTGTTAAATATGATAATTTTATCATTTAGCAGAATCATTTTTAAGAACTAAGTGTTATTTAACCAATTTATCCCGAATTTAACAATAAAAACTGAATCACATTACATGTTAATATCATCTTATTCGAAATTTGTTTTTCCTAAAATATTTGCATAACTTGTAAACACTATAAATGAATACTATTCCGACAGTTTTCTTAGACTTTACGAGTTGGAATGGAAAGACTTTTTTTCTTATTTTGCGTACTTTGTGATATTATTTGCATATGTTATGTCGTTCAGATGTTTGTATTTAAATACTTGAATCTAAGGCCGTTGCTATATTTATACCACAACGCAATAAAATGCAATTGTTATAGATATTTTAATGTAATATTTATCATTGTGGATCTCTGACTCCTAGCTGTGCCAGATATGAGAAAAATGGTAAGAACAAATATTTTGACATAATTGTATTATAACATAAGAACAGAGTTCAAGTGAAGAACAATAAATGTTTTGATAATAATTTGTGTTAGCTGCATAATCCATTTACATCGACCTTATTTCACAAAACTTCAAAACCACTATAAAACGTTATAATATAAATATTTTATTTTGCGTGAAAAAAAACATAAAAAAAATTTCAGCATTGTAATTGTTCGTGTTACTTGAAAATTAAACATGTCTTTTTTGTACAATATAATATAAGTCATAAACATGTGAAGAACATTATTACATAACAGCATTATATACCTACCTTGTTATGGCATGATCTTTAAAATCACACTTTCTATAATTATTCCATTTGTCAATAATAATTTTTAAATCTTCTAAAAAACTGTAATATTTTAAACTCATATGCCTTTGAAATAATATTTGTTACACAATCACTTTACACATTACTAGCTCACTACGTTAGAAAACCTGTTAACAGGAATGTTGTTTGTTATAACAAGATAATTCTTATCAGCACTATATGTTGGATACACGCTATTGCCTGCCTAGTTACACGATCATAATTCAAGATAGGAATTTTAATAGCTCATTTCAATAATGTTAGAAAGTATTCCTGCAGTCAGTCAAACAGTAGGCAGTCGAACGCTTATCAAATTATTCACGGTTTATACTCCACATTCTCTGAAGATACTTTTTACAAGGTAGGATAAGTTACATAATATATTAGAGTGTTCGACAAAGCAATGAATATACAAACAACATCTCACAACACATATTAGTATGCTTGAATACACTACATATAGATAAGAATACAATGTATATACGATTCGGTATAGTATATGTTGCTGAAGTGAATGACCTTCATGCCAATTACTCGGGCATACACAATATACCAAATTGCTTATGATGTTAATGATTTACTTGTTCATTTGAACTTTCTATACAAAATGTTGATTATAAAAGTAATGTCATTTATATAAAACATAATGGTAAAAGAAGTGAATAAGGGGTAGCTCCCTCGAAAGAACTTAAAGAAATTAAAAAGTGAACAATGCAGACTCGATTGTTGTTTGAGTCTGTTTAATAAAAATATGAGAGATAATGATAGGAGCACTGTTATGCTCCTTAGCACCACTTATAAGCATTACTTGGTTTTCAACATTTAACGGATTGAAATCAATCATCCCCAAGGACAAATAATATATATAACTGCACTGAGATGAAGCCAGCCTATCAGTGCTCTTATATCAATTTTACTTTTATGTTAAAGCAGCACACCTCCAGATTCATGCTAACTTTCATGAACATTTTATAGTAGTATTTGTTTTTTTCGACATACAAAAAGACCGAAGTTAACTATATAAGAACAATTATCCACAATCAAGGCCATCCAGCAAATAAAAACCACTTCGGTCCAGTCCCGTCTGTGGTCTTAATAAGAGGGTTTTTACTGTATAGCAACATAATCTCCCTGTTACATAATAACACTGTTACATGATCACTTTTTTAAATGATCACACTATTATAATTATTATCGCTCTTACTTTATTTTATTAAAAATGTGTACATGTACTTCTCTCGCTTTTCCTTCATTTTCACTGATGCATATTTCAGGGTAGTCGAGATCAGACTGGTATCCAATAAGAATTTTACCATTTCAGCGCAGGAGTTATGAAAATAATTAATAAATAACTACTTAGGAAAACCCAAGGCATCAACTGTATCAAATCTTTACATTTTCCTTTCGCAAATACGTGCATTCACTATGAAAATCATTAGTGGCGAATTTCATTTCTTGAAATATTAAGTGGCCCTCAACACACAAAATGTGCATTTCGGTATTTGATAAAAATGTTGTCGTCAAGAAATATCTCATTGATAAGATATTTAATGGGAGCAATTTGCCCCGATTTCTCTTTAGCTTTGTTATTGTTTTACTCTTGTAAAATGCCACGCCGCTTTATATTCTTAATCGTTGACCTCTTTGCGGCAAGTCCAAGCAGAGTTTAGCATTTTCAGAGCTTATTATCATAGTTTACAGCACTTTGCGTTGCTATGTAGCTTTCCATGCATTTAGCTTGGAGCTGTCTTTCATATTTTTCTCATTCATTTCATATTTTTTGACGATGATATTTGTTTTCACCAAAAAGCACAATAAAGTCACGGCCTTATTCCAATCATTCTGTGTTCTGTTATTTTATTCACAATTGACTATTTATAAAACAGTTATGCTTTCTTCTGGGAAACATAACTATTTGTATTAGAAGTGTTGCGCAGTTCCAGGCGGTGCTATATCTGCTATGTAAAGATATGTGCATGATGATCTTTGGTTCTACCGTTTTAATAGCTTAGAAATGCTACTATTGGTTCTACATTCATACGTATCTGCTATATATGGTTTTGTTCATTTATAAAGAAATTGCGTCATCTTAGACCCAATATCTTTCAACGAAAGATATCTTAGCAATAACTAAAGTTCCGTCTGCTTTCGAACCTTGTTGCAGGAAAGCTACTTAGTAGTAAGAATACCCGTTAATAAATTAAACATAATAATACACCAAAGTGAAACTATTAAATTAATCGCATGTTCTCTAATATTTCCGGTATCTCCATTTTTAGTCAGTCAACGACCGTTTTTGAACCAGTGTAAAGACAATTTTGTATAAAATTAAAATAATTTTCGATCAATTATACAAATAGATGAGCACAATGCACATCTTTATACTGTAAAGTTAAAAAAGGGAATATAATTGTAAGAATATTCGTTGTCAACTGTTCATGTAGTTATCATATTACATAACCGCTTTGTTACACGATCACACTGTTATATGATAACTTTGTTACATGATCACTTTTGTTACAAATAATCGCTTTCTTACACGATCACACTGTCGCATTACTGCTCTGGTACATGATCTCACTATTACATAATCGCTCTCTTTCACGATCACACTGTTATATGATCTCTTTGTTAGATCACACTATAACATTATGCTTTATTACCCCTCACTTTTTTCGTAATGTTAATTTCACATAGGCCTCTTGGAGTTTTTCTTACTGTTAATGCAAGTGTACCACGTGACTAAGAATTTTGTACTGTTACATAGGTAACAGTATTTTTAACAGTATAAAATCTGGTCACGTGGTCTATTTTCTAAATAAAATATAATAAAATGGCCGCCATTTTTCTCTCGATTCATTCTTAACTGTGACTCTCATAAAATTGAGTTCTTTGCACCCTAGAGTTCTTTTCGCGTATAAAAAAACTTTTTATTTACTGTTAACTGTTATATGATCCTTTTGTTGTATTCCATAGTATTTGTCACTAAACATTGGTTGAACTATCATTTATGATGTTGAAAATTATTTTGACAACAATGATCTTACCAGGGTCCGATTATACTACATTTTGTACTAGTAAAACTTTTGTGTTAATCATTCTCTATGTGTGTTTCTAAAATTGATACTATTTAGCTCAATGCATGTATAGCCTACTGTTTCCTGGACATTAACATATCGATAATGCTCAATCAAATAATCTCAGTATTTCATCACAATTTCCTATTGATTGTAGTCATATTAAGATGCAATTTAGCTCATATATTACATTATTAAATCTCTATAAAATCAAAATGGCAAACACTTTAGATGAGAAGTATTGTAATATAACATTAAGCACAATAATTCATGCCGATAAAAGTATTTTATTGACAATATCTGCCGTTATGTTTCCGGTATGATCATCATAATTCAGTCAATGGCATTTTAGGGAATTGTTAGTGCTATATTACAGTTGCAGTTTCTTTAAAAAGATTAATATTACTTTCAAATGTTTTATAAGATAAATGATTATAATGCATTGGTGGCGTTAATAAATTTTTAAACATGCTGAAAATATATTAGAAGGGGAATGCACAATCTATCAACCAATG